ATCAAATTTTTTTTTAAATGTAATTATTTTTTTGTTATATTTTGTTTAATTTTATAGATCTATATACTTTTTGATTCAAAAAATATTTAAGGACTTAATCGTTTAAAATATGAATGTTTATTGGGGTTTTTTTTCGACTTTCTTTTTCCACTATTTTACCAATTTAACTAGTTGTACAAATCATAAGAATGTATCCAATATGTTTTAGAAAAGTCCAAGGAGTTATGTAACATGTTTTGGATTGTCCAATGACTTATTTGTTCCAAAAATTGTCCAATAATTTATTTAACATGTTTTAAATTGTCCAAGTATTTATTTGTTTCTAAAAAATTGTCGAAGGACTTATTTAATATGTTTTGAAATGTTCAATAACTTATTTGTTCTAACAAATTATCCAATAACTTAATCATTTCAAATATTAAAGTCCATTAGATTTTTTTTAACTTTTATAAATAAAATATTAAAATCAACTTGTACCATTTTGCTATTTATAAATAAATAGATAGATAGAATAAGCGAAGAAGCTTGTGTCCGATCTTTCGCCATTTCCGGTCCTAAATCCGGCCGGTCAACACACACACGACTGCGGGACCCAAAGCTCGGAACCCTTTTCTTGGTCGGCTTACACACGTTACCCGTACATCAACAATCTATTCTATACAACCAACACCCACCGGAGAGACAGATTTCGATTTCCAATCTCTCTCTAGCTGGACCAGATGCACATCACAAGATTTCAACAAGAAACCCTAGATCAATGCCGAGACCTGGACCATCCACGACAATAGTCATACCCAATTTCATAGACCCTACCCATGGCCAAACAGTCATCTTCAACATTCTTCTTCCAGAAGAAAACGCGGTGGCTTTTGCTACTCTTGGCCATGTTATCCGTCTCTACGGCGGTGGCGTTTATTATCAGGGCCGCTTATGATTCTTCATGTGATCGTCACCTCTTCGATGTCCCTGCTGTTGGTAAACGCTTTCAATCGACGGCCAAACCCAAGGCGCCGCCTCCGATTCAGGTTAAAGTAGCTAGTCCCCTCAGTTTTATGAAGTCCAGGCTTGTTCTTCTCGTCTCTCATGAACTATCTCTTTCAGGTAATCTAGTTTCTCAACTCTTCTCTTTAATTCTTCATTTTCATTGGGTATAAGTTAATAACTTCTGCCATAGAACCGAGAACTGCTATGATGTACGAACACTTTATATGGGGAAAAAGATTTAAGATATTTCTCATTCACCTAACAAGAAAACTTGTCTCATGTTTGGCACTGCAATTAGAGTGGGACATTGTAAGACTGAGGGCCGGTTTGTTAGCAGCCTAACCGACTCGCAGCTTATTTAGTTAGCTAGCAATACATGACTGTTTGGGACAGCCAAGTTTTTTGTAGACCTGCCCCTCACAATTAAAAAGAACGCTCCAAGAACTATGAAAAACCCTATCAAACAAAAACCTTTCCAACCAAACAACCCCCAAGTGTCACAACTCACAACAATGCAGGTTTTTTGTCCCACCAGAATAGGTGGAACAGAAGGATGTTGCTATATGCCCTGCTACTTATGTGATAGTTAGGTCAAATCATACATTGAAAATGTAAAAAGTAAGTCTTGACGTTGATGTAGGTGAGGAGGAAATTAGTAGGTAGGGCGGAGTAGACCAAAAATTAGGGACATGGGACATATGCATAAATTACTAAAGTACCAATGTGAAATTAAACCCTAAAACCTTTTACAAATTTATTTCACCCGCCAACTCACTTTTGTCTACCAAAGGGCCTTTGGCCTAGCGGTATGTGAGTCATTGGCCTCCTAGAAGGTCAAAGGTTCAAACCTCACTAAAAGTGAGGAGGGTGTGTGAGTTTATGTGTTCTATTTGCCGAATATAAATATTATATACTTCAAAAAAAAAAAAAAACTCACTTTTGTCAGCCCAGTCTTGTCCAGTCCCATTCCGAGTACCAAATGCGCCCTAGTGTTTTTGTGAAATTGTGTCATACGGGGAGGAAATGGAAAGCTATAATGCATATGTTGCCACTCATTCATGTCTTTTGATCCCCTTTCACTTTCTTGATTTATCTTTCAGGTGGTCCATTGCTTTTAATGGAACTAGCATTTCTATTAAGAGGTGTTGGTGCTGAGGTTTGTTGGATAACGATCCAAAAGCCACCCGGAAAAGATGAGGTGATATACAGTTTGGAGAACAAGATGTTGGATCGTGGAGTACAGGTACATCTTCCATTGCCAAATCATTCGTTGCTAATCTTTTCGTTTCATGGCATTTGTTACCGTTGGTCAATATATATTTGAATGAACTTATAAACTTTTGCCATTATGAGGTGTTCTATAGAATGCTCTCCGTTTTATACTCGATTCATGACTGAATTGAAATTTGTATGCTCAAGAACCATCTTTTTCTTTCCTTTGCTTTTGTATTTGTACCAAAATCTTATATATATAAGGTTTTAGAAAGCGGAACTGGGACTTGAGGCGTTTCCCTTCCACGCAGTGAGGCATGAAACAAATAAAATTCATAAATATTAATAGCAAGCAAAACATAATTCCATACCAAAATTTAAACGTCATAGATTCATAAACTACTAGTTATACGTCCAAAAACATATCAATCTACAACTTATAGTTCCCCCAAGCATGATCAAGTTGTATAGCTCCACATCTTATCCATAATCACTATCACTTTCATCTTCCAAATCCACAGAAAACAGAAAAATAATACAGAAAGCTGAAAATAATATAGAAAACAGAAAACTGAAAACAATAATAATATATAAAAACAGAAAATATACAGAAAAACATATATAACACATTATACATATAGAAAATACATTATACATGATATAGAACATATATACTTGACCGAAATATATATGATATAATATAATACATTATACGTAAACTAAAAATATGGACACAAACTAAAAAGAACTTACTTTTTGGGTTGGCCTTTGAGATGAATATCTTCTTGAGAGAGGAAAAAGTAAGAAATGGAGAAGAAAAAAATGTTGTTTGGAGAGGCGTGCGCCTCAGAAACGCCTCACAGATTGAGGCTTAAGCCTCGTCCAGGGACCATGAGGTGCCTCCTCATGAGCAGTTTTGGATCGCCTCGCCTCAAGGCGTACGCCTCAAACGATTTTGAAAACCGTGTATATATATACACACGTACTAGGATGGCATTTGGTTAAGAAAGATAAGGCGTCATATGGATTGATGGTCACGGAGTTTGAGGGGGTGTTTGGTTAGGGGTATTTGGCAGTAATCAATGAGAATGAAAATAAAAGAAACGGTTTGGTTTTGTATAATATAATGGGCTCATTCCCCCACGGAGCCCAAATTTTGATTCCAGGTTAAACCGGGGGGAATGGAAATTCATTCCCATTTTCATTCCTCTTACTGAACCAAAGACCCCCTGAATTCTTTGATCTTTTTTTGATGTATATACTATTTATATACGGCATTTGGTGAGGCTTGAACCTTTGACCTCCAAGGAAGTTGAGATCTACCAATAAGTTGGATGGCGTTAAGCCATTGACCCTTTTGTGACTTATTTGATTTGACATCATTTAGGTAATCCTTGCTTCCTGTATTAGATATGGTCTCTGAATTTGTTGCTTTATTACGGTTTGTATGCATATGCATGTACCCATGAGAGCATTAATTATGAAGTTTAGGGTAAATAGATAGCTCCTTGAATTCAACATTGAACATACATAGGACGGGATAGAAGGGGGGGATTAGAAAATCTGCTGCATTCATCTAGTTTTCTTTTAACATTAATGACGGTGACTTGGAAAAACCTTTTGTTCTGCTTTCTTATGTATTTGATTTCATCATCTTTAGCTTAATGATTTTCTTTTTTTAAGCATCTTATTTGTCTAATGTGAGAATATGTGTAACCCACATTAATCTCCAAAAGAGCTTTGAGGAGAGAAGGGGGTCCAACATATACTGAGGAGAATTGATCCAAGTCTAGCCGATTTGGAACTCCAAGAAGGCTAGACGGGCACAAATTGCCCCCAAGAGTGTTGAGTCCTTAGAGTGCTAGAACTTGGCTCTCATTCCATGTGAGAATATGTGGAACTGCCAGATTAATCTCCAAAAGAGGCCTTGAGGAGCCTAAGGGGGTTCCGACGTATATTGATATATTGGTTGTTCTTTAATGTTCTTCATACTTGTAGGTCTTCTCTGCTAAGGGTCAAGAAGCTATAGATACTGCAATAAAAGCCGATTTGGTTGTTCTAAACACTGCTGTTGCTGGAAAATGGCTGGACGCTGTTCTGAATAAAGATGTTCCTCGAGTACTGCCAAAGGTGTTATGGTGGATTCATGAAATGCGAGGGCATTACTTCAAACTGGATTACGTGAAGCACTTGCCAATGGTTGCTGGGTCTATGATCGATTCCTATGTAACAGCCGAATATTGGAAGAATAGGACTCAAGAACGCTTAAAGTATGCTTTAGTTTATCCTTCCCATCACCTATACTTCGTAATTGCTCTTCTTAGCTAATACTCCTCCAGTCCCAAAATAAATATCCACAATGAAAATGACTCACAGTTCTAGAAATGTGTAATTATTACACTTCTTAATTTACAATGACAATTTTACCCATAATAATAGAGGGAGTATCGAATTTCTCCATCTCATACCCCAAGAGTAAATTGGAAAGTAGGCACTTACTTTTGAAAGTGGGTATTTAATTTGGGACAAACTAAAATAGAAATGTGGATGCTTATTTTGGGACCGAGGGAGTATAACATGATAAAGAACGAGATAGAATATATTCGGAAATTTGATTTGCACATTGTTCCGTTGTTCGTATGCTTGATTTGAGCTCATTTAGGCCGCTGTTTTGAGTTTGTATCTTGAACATAACGCTTCCTCTAACTGTTCCCATTTTGTTCCTAATCTATGAGCTTGGGTTCGTTCTCCGGCCAATATTTGAATGCTTAATAGAGAAAGACTCCCTCCGGCCCTAAAATATCTGTCCACATTTTCGGTTTTAGTTTGTCCAAAATAGGTGTCGTCTACCGAATTCCACCCATACTTATTAGATGGAGAAATTCATTACTCCCTCTATTATCAAGGGTAAAATTTGTCATTTAGCTAATTAAAAATGTAACGATTACACATTTTAAAACTGTGTGCCTTTTTTATTGTGGAGATTTATTTTGGGACGGAGTGAGTACATGCTTTTGAATAAACTGTTCCCAATTGTTTAAATCTATGCTTGACATTTTAGCTTATGGTTAGTACGTTTATTTTACAGGATTCAGATGCCAGAAACGTACGTTGTTCACCTTGGCAACAGCAAAGAACTTATGGACGTTGCTGAAGATAGTGTGGCGAAAAGGGTTTTGAGGGAGCATGTTAGAGAGTCCCTTGGAGTGCGTAACGAAGATATACTCTTTGCTGCCATAAATAGTAAGTTTTCTGCTTCAATGTGATTATTTAGTTGTCTCCAAACCCCATCCCTCTGCCATCTTGAATAGTATGGGCATCACTTTTGTGAGCCGGACCCCGTAAGGCGTGTTTGGTACGTGACGTAGGACAGGACAATACAAAAACTTGTTGTCCCATGTTTGGTGCGACATTAGATTGGGACAAGACATAACCTGATTGGGACAAAAATGCATTTTCTTCCCCACCAAAATAGGCGGAACAAAATTCAGGGAGATGAGACAATATTGGTAAATTACTAAACTACCCATATCATATTAAAACCCTAAAACCTTACAAGATTGGTAAATCACTAAACCACCCATGTCAAATTAAAACCCTAAAACCATAATTTTTTCAACCGCCTACCTCACTCTATCCCGTTCTGTCCAGTCCAGTTTGCATACCAAACGCACCGGGTAGAGGACAGGTTTGCGTACTGGATGTGTTTGGTTCGATTTTTAGTAAAAAGGTGTGTAAAACCGAGTTAGGATGTCTGCAAGAGTGCAACACATTTTTGTCTCTCTTTTATTCTTTAATTTGTCTTTTTTATCTTCCGATATTGTTGTTTTGGTTGCTAAATGATAATCTATAAATTTACAAGGAAGCATGATAATGGGTTGCAGGTGTTTCCCGTGGAAAAGGTCAAGATCTATTTTTACGCTCATTTTATGAGAGCTTACAGTTGATTCAAGAAAAGAAGCTACAAGTGCCATCGATACGTGCAGTAATTGTAGGCAGTGATATGAGTGTCCAGACTAAGTTTGAAACAGAACTGCGGAACTTCGTGGCACAGAAGAAAATCCAACATCGCGTTCATTTTGTCAATAAAACTCTAACTGTAGCTCCTTATCTTGCAGCAATCGATGTTCTAGTCCAGAATTCTCAGGTATTCATATGTTTTTAAGTATATAATACATGGCAAATACTCACACTTTTTGTATGATATGAAAACTAAGACAACTGTCTATTGGGCGTAACACCCTGGTAACCCAATTACCGCCATGCTACACTTACCCTGTTTCTACCCCTGATTCTCGGAATACGTAGGATTCACTGAGTCTCGTTTGGTTTTTGGTAGCGGGCAATACAACTGTATAATTTCACAACTTTTTATATTTTCTGATTCTTTTTACCAAGTTTTTCACTTTTTGGTGATTGATAGGTATATGTTTCAGAAATTGAGATCAAGATATTGTATTAGATCTATCGATATTTACCCAGGTTATTCTTATGTGTAGGGGCGGGGAGAGTGTTTTGGGAGGATAACAATCGAAGCAATGGCATTCCAACTTCCTGTACTGGTAAATGTTCTTGTTTCCCTTTCCGATTTCCTTTCTATGCAGGTTCATTTGAGTACCGTGGGAACCAACTATTCGTAAATTATTCATAATGAATATTGCATATCATGCTGGATATTCATGTATATTTATCATGAATAGTTGGTTTTCATGCTTCTCAAAATATTTACGGTTCCCAAATGTACATAAATCCACAAAAGTGAAGTTAAAGATATGGGTTCTTATCACCGCCTGCGAATCACAGGGAACATCAGCCGGAGGCACTGCAGAGATTGTGGTGAATGGATCAACGGGTTTTCTGCATCCTGCCGGCAAAGAAGGGGTGAGTCCGCTTGCAAAGAACATGGTGAAACTGGCGACACACGTGGAGAGAAGGCTAACGATGGGGAAGAGAGGGTATGAAAGGGTGAAAGAAAGGTTTCTAGAATATCATATGGCAGATAGAATTGCTGGTGTTCTCAAGGAAGTACTGCACAAGGCAAAAGGCCACCATTAATCACCTTCAGAGCTAGAATTTCTCTGTATATTGGATTATGATTATAGTGAGGGAGGATGGTATATGTTTGTTTCTAGAGATGGATCATTATGTTGTTGGTAGAAAACTAGAAATGGTATATGAAATTGCAGATTGTTGTTAATCAAGATATATCTGGGTCCATCACATCACTGACAGTGTCATCTGTGTGGGATATACCGGGTATGTTTGTGTTGATCTAGATTATCTGTTGATCCCATGAACGTGAAAAAGAGATGCTAAACAAGCGTTTGATGATCATCATATTCTATTTTACTTGGTTGTGCTTCCGGTCAAGTCGAACCTTGCCAATTAGCTTGCTAACCGAGGAATAGAAAGGAAGGACCTGGGGCCCCAATGTGTCGAACCTTGGGATTTCTTAACATGGCCTCTTCTTTTACTTCGTCCTTTATCTGCAGGAGGTTCGATTCTACGTCCTTTGTCACCTCCACCGTGCCGGCTCTAGAAGGTTTTACTTGAGGGGTGCTCTATTGCCTGTTTTGGTGTTCAGTAGTGACGGTATACGATATTCATCATGGCATGTTGATCTGTAGCTACTAGCGATTCCAACTTGATGTTCTTGGCATGTTCACAAAGAAAAAACCTGCAATTTTAACAATGATGCCTTTAAAACTTGAAAATAATGGATTGTCAAAAGCTTGAATTGGTTCTGCTACAAATAAATAAAGAAATCTTTTTTCAGTTTGATTGATTAAATTCAATTGTCTTTTTTGATGCATAAATCATTAAATTATTTTTTAATTTAAATGATTATATTTTAAAAATTAATTTTTTAAACAAATAAACTACCGGAATTAAAATTTTTAAACAAAGGGAAATTAGTGATGAGGTGGGTTAGTACAAGTGGTATTTATGGGTAAATTTCTTAACCAACTTCCATAAATATCTATAAAAGGTGGATTGTGAGATCCAATCTTAACTTTTGGTTAATTTGTGTAAGGTTGTGAAGATAAGGGGTTGTAAAGTACATAATCCAGTTGTTGAAGGACCTGAGGACTATGCCCCACATTTGTAGATTCTTCAGGGGTATCGGAGTCCATGTCTTAATCTTCAGGGTGTTTTATAAAAATATTAGTGTTAAATATAAATAGTCTTTTTCTTTTGTTCAAGTCACTTCTCTCATTTTTTGTATCTTTAGATCTCACTCCTTTTCTCTCTCTAAGCTAGCTTACGTATGTTCTTCTTAGCTACTTTGCTAAGATTTAGAACAAATCCTTTATAGATTGTTTTCATGCTTGTTCTTCTTACTATCATAATATGCCATGTCTTCTTGTCTCTACTTAATTGTGGCACAGTTGTCTTGGTCATCCTTCTAACCAAGTTTTAAAGGTACTTAAAGAACAACTTAAAATTGAAAATGAGGACTGTGGTCCTTGTGAGGTTTGCCATAAGGCAAAACAGACTTGATTTTTTTTTTTGAGTTGTATTCAGTTGTAGAGGAGCGACTGTGAAAGGGCTCTTCCCCCCGTAGGGAGGGCTTCCTCACAAATCCAAAGGTCTAGGTGAATTAGTTCACCTGGATGTTTGGGGTCCCTATCATGTTCAGAGTAGAGAATGTTATAATTTTTTTTTACTATTGTTGATGATTTCACTCGTGTTGTTTGGGTCTTTTTATTAAAAGGTAAACATGAGGTTGGTGAGAATATTATAACAAATTTTAACTTGATTAATACTCAATTTGGCAAAGCTAGTTAAAGTGTTTAGAAGTGACAATGGTTCTGAATTTACATGTCAAAATTTGAGTTTTTTTTAAATAAAAGGAATTGTTCATCAAACCTCTTGTGTTTATACTCCTCAAGAGAATGGGGCAGTTAAACGAAAACATCGTCACTTAATGTAGCTAGGGCTCTTATGTTTCAAGGATGGATCCCTCTGAATATTTGGAGTGAGTGCATTCTTACCTCTATATATCTAATAAATAGAACTCCTTCGTCTGTTTTAAATGGTAAGTGTCCGGTGTCCCTATGAGCTTGTTTATGGATTTGAGCTTGTTCTTACTCATCTTCGAAACTTTCGATGTTTGTGCTTTGCTGCTTTACCATCACAGATAAGTTTTCTCCCAAGTCTGAAAAATGTGTTTTATTGGGATATGCTAATTCAAAAAAGGGGATACAAACTGTATAGTTTGGATTCTCGAATAATTAATGTTTCTCGTGATGTTAAATTTTATGAAAACATTTTATCTTTCAAGATGAAGTTAGACAGGTTGAGTGAATCTCTTAATGATGATATTAATCAATTAATTTTTTTTTTGATTATGTATTTGAATCTTCTGATAAGGTGGTTGATTATTCACCCAATGATGGGAATGGAGACAAACTTAATACTGAAACTACTCATAACATTTCTTCTGTCCCTAGTAACCATGAAGTTCTAGGTAGCCCAATTAGAACTGTCAATAGAAGGCCTCTAGACAACTCAAACAGTCATAATGGACAAGGTTCTGGTCGTGAAGAGAACCTTGAAAGAGTTGGCAGTTGGCAACCATTGAACAACTCTGACCCAGCTGCCAGTACTCAACGAAATTTTGAAACACAACTTGAAGAAATAAATAAGTAGCAATGACTCTTCTTCTCTTGTTCTCATCTCCAAGGGTACTCAAGGTTTGCCTTCAAATTTGATCCAAACTGCTACGAAATCCTCTAGACCATCTGTTTTCCCAAAAAAATTGATGATTTTGTTGTTGAACAAAAGGTCAAATATGGTATAGAAAAAGTGGTTAATTATTCATGTCTCTATGTTGATAATTTGTGTTTTGTGTCAAGTCTGAACAAATCCAATGAACTAAAAACTTTTCAAGAGGCTTATAAAGATATAAATTGGATTAATCCTATGAACGATGAAATGAAAGCCTTACATAGAAATAGTAGTTGGGTTATTACCGACTTACCTCCTGGTAGGAAAGCCATAGGTTGTAAGCGGATTTATAAAATAAAGTATGTCTAATGGAGATATATAAAGGTATAAGGCTAGGCTTGTTACGAAGGGGTAGTTAAAGAGAAGGTCCCAATTATGAGAAAACCTTCTCTCCTATTGTTAAAATGGTTACTGTTTGTTGTATTATAGCATTAGCTGTTCAACTTAAGTGGAGTATTTTCCAACTAGATGTAAATAATGTTTTTTTATATGGCGATTTAGTTGAAGAAGTTTACATGATTTTACCTGAGAGTTATTATAATCGAAAGGACAAGCGGGTATGTAAACTAATTAAGTCTTTGTATGGTTTAAAACAAGCCCTGCGTCAATGGTTTGCAAAACTCTCTTCATATTTAATTGATCATGGATTTTTTCAAAGTGTTAGTAATTATTATTTGTTTACCAAAACTGTTAATAATGTTTTTATTGTTTTGTTAGGATATATTGATGATATAGTTATAACTGAAAATGTTGATTGGGGTAAGTGTCTCTCCTCTAAACGATCTGTTATTGGTTTGTATATTTCTTGGAAATTGTATGGTTTCATGGAAAAACAAGAAACAAAATACCGTTTCTCGATTTTCTGCTGAATCTGAATATAAAGCCATGATAACTTTTAACATGTGAAGTAATCTGTGTTGTTCTTAAAATTATGTCAGATTTAAATATAAAAAATTTACTTCTTGTAAACCTATATTGTGACAATAAATCTGCTATACAAATTATTAACAATCCCGTTTTTCATGAACGCACAAAACACATTGAAATTGATGTCCATCAAATTCATGAAAACATCAATAAAAGATTATTAAAAGTAGTTAAAATAATCTCTTCCGAACAATCAGCATAATTTTTTGTGTTCGAAGCTAAAGATGATTAATTTATTAAAAGTCAAGATTGAGAGAGAGTGTTAAAATATAGATTAACATTTTCCAATCTTATCTTTTGATTAATTTGTATAAATTGTGAAGATTAAGGGGCTGTAAAGTACATAATCCAATTATTGAAGGACCCGAGGACTGCGCCTCAGGGTTGTAGATTCAAGTTCAAGGAATAAAAAGTTTTTAAAGAAGTTAAACTCTTCTCAATAATAAAAAGTTTTTGAAAAAATTAAATCATTTTAATTCATAATAAATTGATAAGTGTTTTTATAAAAAAAAAAAAAAAAAAATCATGAATTACTTCAAACAAGAATCCCAAACATCCCCATAAAAAGAAAAGTCTTTTTCTTTTGTTTAGGTCATTAGCTTACTAATCTTTTTCTTCTTAGCTACTTTAATGAAATTAATAACAAGAAACTTTTACAAGTCATAAACCAGAGTCAAGAGAAATAAACGTGGAGACGATATGAAATGAACAAGTATTAGTTTAGTAATACTATTCCTCCATAAACACAATACAAGGAATTAAAAACAACAAAAACCATATGAAAACACGTAAGAGTAAAGTAGTAAATCAACCTTCTGCCATCATCACCAGATTATTCTTCATCCTTATTATTATATCTATACCTATACCTATACCTATCCATCCTTTAACTCACAATCATACCATGACATTAATTGATCAATCAGTCGTTACGATGTCCAGGCAGCTTCTCCTTTATCTTCTCCATCATCCCTTTCTTCTCATGACTTTGCCCGTAACCACCCCCCGCCGTCGTTGTCGTCGTCGTGCTTGACACCCGATGCTGCTCATCTGTACTGTGACCACCGCCCGGAAGTTTCTCTTTGATCTTCCCCATCACACCTTTCTTCTTCCTCCTTCCTCCTTGTCCATCATCCTCCGACTGCATTCAAACATCAATTATTACTTCATTTTCAAGATTATATATATATATATATATATATATATATATATATATATCTATAGTACACTTACAGAGCTTGAGCTGCCACTGCCTGAACGATGAAGAGTTCCAGTTCCGGTTCCGATGCCGGTACCAGTAGTGCCGGTTCCGATGCCTCCGTGCTGACCGTACCCACCTCCAGCTTCGGAACCACCGCCCATGTAAGGGGTGGCGCTAGGTTGGTTTTGATACAACCCACCAGTACCACCAGTTGCACGTCCTACGTCCGTCCCGGTGCCATGGTGACCGGTGGTCCCATAACCACCGCTAGTTTTGTAATCACCCGTACCCGTACCCGTACCCGTACCCAGCCCCTGGTGACCGGTGGTCCCATAACCACCAGCGGTTCCATACTCAGTTCCTGTGGCATGACCACCCAAGCCCTGGTGGCCGGTGGAACCAAGTCCACCTCCGGTTCCATAACCGGTTCCTGTGGGATGACCTACGTTCGCACCCAAGCCCTGGTGGCCGGTGGAACCCAAACCACCGCTGGTTCCGTAATTAGTTCCTGTACTACCGTGGGTACCCAATCCCTGCTGGTGACCGGTGGAACCATAATCACCCATGGTTCCTCCCGTGGTGGAATGAATCGGGTTTCCGTACTCGTCAGTTTGCCGAACAGGGTTGCCATACTCGTCGGTCAGGCGACCCTCCCTTCCGTACTGCTTATCTCCTCCGTATTGCGCCATTTTTTCACTCAAAAAGCTTCAGAAAAAGCACAAGACACACTCTCAGATCGTATACAAGTGAACACTTGTTTTTGGTTTTCTTGGTCTGTTTGATGAGATTGAAGAGATTCGGGATGGGACTTTATAGGGGAAAAGGAGATAACGAAAAGATGGTATACGTGGCGAAAGGAAGATGAATAGCATGTGAGAGAAGCTTACACGTGGTACTCGACGACGCTAGGATTTTGGATAATTTAGAGTTCACTAGCAGTCGATGGACACGTGTCCAATATGTCGGCTGATACTTTTTTCCTGGTGATCATCCTCAAGATTTAACCGACCAAATTTAATGCATAAAATAAAAAATTCATCTTTATATATTTTCTGGTAAATTTATTTTAGATAAAGATAAGGTTTTTGTCGGCAAGTTTTAGGTCGTAGATGATATGGCAATCGCATATCCCAACTCTCCAAATGGACCATTTTTCATCTTAAAAATAAAAATATATATAAGAAATTATTATAAATTGTGATTCAATGCCCCAAAAGAAAATTTTATGTGATAAAAAGGACAATAATCTATAAATAAAAATAACAATTTATTTAATATTACATACTAATAATTTAAATTATCAATTTATAAAAAGTGAAATACATTGGTGGGGTTTGTTCTAAAATAGGATGTGTTGTGTAACTTTGTAAATTATTACAAGGGTTTTAACGGTGTCTAAATTTGAATCCGAATAAGATACGATTTTCGTTATATACTTACTACTATATCACAATCCAAGTGGTTACTTGATTGTATGGTAAAACTTATAATCATATTAAACCTGCAAATTTAAAAATAAAAATATTATTCTAATTAACCAACTTCATAAACGATTTAAAATTACAAATTTCATAATACGTGTTATTTCCTGCCCTACACTTTTTCGAGAAAAATACAAATTTTATTGTCCGTCATAAGAAATAGAATTTGACAGGGGATCAACAAGATATCGGTCAGAAAACGTACAATATGACGTTTTCAATCTTTAATTTCTCATTAAAAATATACGGTTTTAAGATACGATGAAACAACTCTCGTAAAAACCAAATGACTCTAAACTTACTGCTTGTATTAACGTCGTCTTATATTCTTGGAGTTCATTTTAAATGTAAATTACAATTGAAAAATCTATAAGAAATATTTTAATCACCAAAAGTAATTGATGGATTTTCTTAGAAAACTAAAAGAACAATAATTATTTTAAAGATAAGATTTAGGGGGTGTTTGCGATTGCTTATACAAACAATTTATTGACTTATTGCGGTGTGACATCGGTAATAAACACTTTTGCGTGTTTGGATAAACAGTTTATACCGGTGTCAAACCGGTTTTTAAAGAAGTTAAACCATTCTAACTTATGGGGTGTTTGGAATTGTTTATAAAAACAACTTATTGACTTATTCCGGTGTGACACCGGTAATAAGCACTTTTGAATGTTTGGATAAACAGTTTATACCGGTGTCAAACCGGTAATAAGAAGTTTTTAAAGAAGTTAAACCTAAGTTAGAATAGTTTAACTTCTTTAAAAACTCCTTATTACCGGTTTGACACCGGTATACGTTGTTTATTCAAACACTCAGAAGTGTTTATTAGCGATGTCACACCGAAATAAATCAATACGTTGTTTTTATAAGAATCCCAAACACCCCTTTAATATTAAAAACATTTATATTGGAAAAATATGATTAATGGGCCGTGGATGTGTGCTTATTATATAGGTGGCCAAAAACCGATCCCGGCCCGGGCCTTAACCAGTCCCTACCGGTCCCGATCAAGACAAAAACCGTCGGAAACCGGTCCTATCATAACCGGTCCCGGTTCCGGTGAAATACCTCATAACCGGTCAAGCTTACCGGTAACCGGTTAAACATTCCGTCCCGGTTCCGGTCCCATAACCGGTTACGGCCGGTCCCTTGCAAAAAAATATTTTATTTTATTTTTTTCATTTTTTTTTCAAATTTTTGGTAATTAATAAATTTTTAATATGTTATTAATATCTTTGAAATATGTTATTTTTAATATGTTTTATTATAAATACGTTTTATTATAAATATGTTTAAAAATACGTTTTGTTATATATATATATATATACGTTTAATTTTATAAATACGTTTTGTTATATACGTTTATATAAACATTTTATTATAAATACGTTTAAGAATATACTTTAAAAATACGGCTCACTCAAATACACTTTAAAAATACGTTTTATTATGATTAAAGTTACATTGTTTTACAAAGCTCAAACTCTAAAATTATTTGAAAATACATTTATTTATCAATCTTAATCGGTATCTCATGTCGGGCCGGTCCTATAACCGGTTACATAACCGGTTCCGGTCTTAACCAGTTCCGGTCTTAACCGGTTCCGGTCCTAGAAAACATTAAAATCCCTAACCGGTTCATAACCGGAGGTCCACAACCGGTTACTACCGGTCCTGGTCGGTTCCGGTCCCTCTCCAATTCCGGTTCCGGTCCTCCGACGGTTACGGGCCGGACCGGGCCCATTTGGTCATCTCTAGTGCTTAAGTTAAAATGGAATAGCCCGTAAACTTTTAGCTTAATTTTTTTTAGCATGTGGGCTTAAGTTAAAACCTTTTGGGCCGTGGGCTTAATCAATGGGCCTTTGGATGTGGGCTTGTTAAAAACTTTTTGGGCCAAATCCATTTTAACCATCTCTAATGCATGTATTCTTGTATACATAGGAAGTCGAAAGTCCATAGTAGTTATGTGTAGTGCTGCAAATGAGTCGAGACAAGCTCGAGTTCGACAGGGATCAAGTTTGACTCGATATTATTGGCCAAAACTGGAACTCAATAGCTTTACGAGTCATCTTAATGTAGACTCGAGAAAGACTCGAGCTCAATTCAATAGCCTAAATGGTTGAAAATATCTATCAAAACTCTGATCGGAAAAACAAACTTGATTTAAATCATTGAATGGCTTAAATTATATATTACAAATATGGTCGTGACTACAGTCTTGATTTTTTCGATTGATATAAAAGTATACACACAAATTAAACCTTGAAAAGCTCAGTAAGAATTCGAGTCGAGTTTTATAAACTTACATTTTATATTTTAAGCTTATAGTTAGGATCGAGTGCTCAAAATACCAACCAACCCAACCCGAAAAAACCTAAAAAAAACTCAACCGAGGTAATCTCATATATAGTTGATACAAAGTTAGGTCAAACCGCATCTATATTGTGAATTTAATTTGATTATTAAGTTATTGATTAATATATGTACAATAGACCAGCCCATAGTTAGATATATTCAAAATTATATTACAATTTCAACCGTAATCTTACTTTCTTATTCACATGAACCTTCAATTTTTTTGAGTTTATTAGTCGTTTCTGTATATTCTTATTTTTATTTTACTGTTTTTAAACACAAACAATTAGCTAGACCATAGAATAATATACCAAAGTTTCAACCTGATCAACCCAACCCAACCTACACGGTTTGGGTTGGGTTGGGTTGGGTTGGGTTGGGTTGAGATTTTACAAATCGCAAACGTTTTGGTTGTTCAAATGTCTTCAACCTAGCCAACCCAACACAATGTTAAAGTTGTTCAACTTGTACTGGAGCACAAGCTTCAGAAAGTCCGACTAAATCAAACTCGAGTTGATTACAAGCTTAAAGTTATTCTATAAAAGTCAGCTTATATGCAACCCTATTTATATGCTTAAGTGAGCAGGCAAAAGATCGTGTGAGAAGCAAAGTAAAAACCCTTGATCACCTCTAATTTCAAACCCACCCATGAATCATGTTTAATAAGAAGATTGATCTGGTGCATCTCGGTACATCTCATCTCAGCGCATCTCATCCTAATGTGCATTCAAGAACGGAGATCATTTTTTACGCTTCTCATCTTAACTCTCCTTTACTGGAACCACCCTAGGTGAGCAACCTATTTATCGGCTTATATTCTAAACAAATTTGCCAACCCATTTTTATTGCTAACGTTTATCAGTCTTGGTTTTTCTCTCCTTTTTATTACAGTTTTACATAAGCCAAGAGTCTTCATAGAAACAAACGTTCTTTTCCTTAAAACCAGGTAAAAAAAAAAAAATCTACATAAGTCTCGATGTCCCACTTTTTATACCATACTTTCGAATAGAGTATATTGGATGAATTTGATTTGATTTGTTTATACATGCACACATTCACATGAATTTTTATATAAAACAAATACATATGAGGAAGGTTTTGGACATAGAATATTTATATGATATAATTGAAGTAGTACTTTGATATATCTTGCCAATAATGTAGATTTGATGTCATCAATTCCCATTCTATCATCCAAAATACACACACACATATATATATATATATATATATATATATATATATATATATATCAGTGAGGTCATTTGTTAACCCAATATATGGTGTTAATTTTGTGAACCAATTCTAGCCTTTAATATTTGTAATCTATGAATAAAATTCATCATGACATTTTTGTAACAAATTAAAAAAAGGATGTTTAATAAACATAGGTGAGCATTCATGAACAAAATGTAATTTTATAAAAAAAAATAGGGAGATTTATGAACAATCACATACAATATATAACTTACAACAAATTGATAATTTCAAAATGGCTATGAACTATGGTACTAGATTGATTCTTATTTGTTTAAAGAGTTCGTATAGTTAACACAAATGAATTGGTTAACAAAAGATCACACCTCTCTATATAATCATAGCTAATTAATGATATTGAATAAAATAGATTAATCAATGATTAAAATCGATATCATGACATACATCATAAGATGACACTTCTGATCATTCATAAGACGACTGTTTTTGTAACATTATATTTGAATTCAAGATTTTTGGATTGTTTTTCAAGTGTCGGAATAACAATAAAATTACATTTTGAAGGTTTGATTTAATTCAAAAACATGTCAACCCTAAAATGTTGATCGTTATGCAACATGTTGTTATAAGGAAGCAAGAACAAGTGTTCATGGTAACCACTCAGTGAGTTGAAGCCATTGTTGATCTCATTGAGTGATTCAAAACGGTGAGTCAACTCAGCCAACTGAGCTCTAAGAACCGAGTTCTCAGAGTCCATCTGGAGGAACATCCGAGTCGTATCTCTCAAGTTGATGGCCATGTACTTGTTGTCACTCACGAGTTGACTCACTTGCCCGATAAGATCATCCGCATGTTTCTTCTTGCGTATCCTCGATCTCCTAGCCGATTCCCTGTTCGATATCATTCTTTTTTGCTTCTTCGAGACCGAGTCATGATGATCATCTGAACCCAACACCGGGAGCTGAGTTGACTCTGTTGATTTCATCACACCAGCAGCAGCCATGTTGATCAATTACAGTGATGATCACAGAAAAGTATGAGTGTATGTATGTATATATGTATATGTATATGATAATAGTGAAACTGGAAGGTGTTTGTTTTCACGAGAAGACGTAGAACCAGTATAAGAAGACGACGGAGAAGGATTGAACCAAGTGGGTGCGGCGGCCAAGGGAGGTGGAAGTTATGGTGAAACCGGATAAGAGGGCTTCACTGATCACTGGAGACGACATGATGACGACGGTGCAACACCAAGAACCACCATGTGTCACTGATCAGACTCTGGTTTTTTGGAGATAAAGAGAAGGGAGTGGTGTGAAAAATATAGCAGGGGGAAATTAATTATAATACAGCCTTTTTAGAAAATAAAATTATTTTAATTTTAATAATTGTTTTAAAAGTATTATTGGTTGCAATTCAATCTGTTTATTAAAAAAATAGAAATAATAAGATTTTATCTTTATTTATGTTTTCCAAAAATATATCCTTTTCTATTTTTGGACTAATAAAAAATACATATATATTATTTTTAATGTGTTTTATTGGGTTTTTTTCGTCTTTTATTTATTAAAAAAAACGTTTGAGGCAATATTTTTATTTTGGTTTTCTTTCATGTAATTGGGTCGGAGTTCGTTTACCAAACGCTTACCTAGAGAAGTACTTATCAAGTTACATTACCTTTCAGGATGAATATGGTATGAACCAAAAATTTTACCCGGTAAGTGAGGACGATAACCCTTACCATGGTTAACGCTTATCTAATTGTTGTTGAATACGATATCATTTGAGTGGACTAAAATTAATCTTACCCGGTAAGTAATTACTAGGGTAAGAGTTTGGTAAATAGCCCCTTAAGTTGGAGTCCATCTGGTGCACCTCAAACAGGGTCGGTCCCTTTAGTCATTTTGCTTATTTTAAGGTTCTTATTTTCTTAAACATAATAGCGGGTTCCGATAGATGGTGGTAGCTATGGGAATGGAAAAAGATGACAAGCTTGAGGTGACGGTGGAAGAAGATGGCGAGCTTCACCGGGGCGGGTAATGGCCTCAAACAAACTCAACTCCATCGTCGTAGTATAATTCAAACCCACCGTTGTCATTTAGGTCTATATCTTCGTCTTGCTTTTCATCTTTCAATTCGTTTGCAAATCTCAAAGGTTAATTCCTTTATAATTAGGTGTGTTTGCACCGGTGCAATACAATTTAGAGCTAAATTCGTAAACCAAATAGCATATTCAGTTTGAACATTTTTCCAAAAGCACAATCCAACTTTATGTGCTTCAAACCAAAATAATACTACACTGCAAATTTGGTGTGATTTATAGTTATACGGTGTGTATCTAAATATTTTGTGTCGTGTGTAAAGTGACGACAGTACAAAATTTCATAGTTCATATATATAATCCATTCAATACAAAATAGGGTATAATCAGGGTCGGTCCTAAGATTTTGATGCCATGTGCAAAAATGATTAAGAATGCCCCTAAGCCTATTTTGTTAAACCAATGAAATAACGAAACATGCGACTTTTTAAAGAGTTTAGAACCTATTCAAGCTAAGTGTCTCATCCCCATGTTGATTTTTATTAATTATAATAAAAAAAATATAATGGGGGGAGGACATAAAAAGCAAAACCTCGAATACAAAATATAGAATGATAAAATGATAAATCTTGGATTAAAATTGTGCTTCCTTCTTTTCCAATTTTCCTTTTTTCCAAATTGAAATTAGCAAAATAGAAACTTTATTTCAATATATGAGACTTAAAAGACAAGAAAAATTATAATTAGTTTTTAACTAAAATAGTAAATTGCATCCAAATTACTGTCATATTAAACAAAAAGTAAAACTCATAAGTTATAGGTCTAATGACTAAAGGCTAAGGTCCTATCTGTTAGGAGCTTAATAAGTTTAATAGAACTAATAGCTTATTCGCTCAACTATCATGACTGTTTCGTAGTGGCTTAATGATATAGAAGTGACTTATCTAGTAAGTTTCTAGGGGGGAGATTTATATAAAAAGCCAAGTTTTTTTTCTTCCAAACTTGTCCCTTCCGACTAAAAAACACTCATTACATCTGCGAAGAAACTCTCCCAAACAAAAATATTTCCAACTTATACAAACAGATTAATTCATACAAACAACTTTATCCATATATAATTTAATAAAAAAAACCAATCAAACGGCCCCTAAATCTAATGCGGTAATAAACAAAAGTCAAAAGAACAATAATAAATTGTAAAATTCATAATTTATGTTACCGTGCATTGCAAAGATTAAGTGCCCAATAATTAAGACAATATCACAATATGTTGTTAATGTTGTGCGGTGTGCTCCAGTTATGTTGATACGGTGATGTGTTCATGTGCTTTGAAAATTTCAGTTCTCATATATTTCAATATGCAAGAAGAAAACTCATTATCAAAATGACAAAAGCCTCTTAGCCTTAGCCTAGTAGGTCAATGACTCAAACGACCACATGACCCAACTTTATAATAATCAGTTGGAAATTTAGATTTTTTTGCAAAAAGATTTAAAGATTCATAAATCATAATATGACTCATACAGCAACTCCGTAAGTTCAATCAACAGTAAAAATCAGTCATTCAAGATTTCCATCTTTGATTTCTTGAATCTAATTTGTGACCATTAATCGGCTAGAAAGAGAACTTCATGCCTTGAAAATCGAAATAGTCGAACTTTGAAGAACAATAGAAATTAGATTGAGTTGTTGGAATGATGTCGTTAATCGGTTCACGATATGCATTAAGTATTCATCACTACTAGGTTTTGGGCCTGTTTTTATAATTAAAGTTCAGTTGTCCAATTCCCAAATTCTTAAACCAAAAGCTAGTAATAGATGACAACTTGATGCCCCTTTAGGCTTTGATGTCCTGTACGGCCGCACGAGCCAGCCAGGGTATAATATTTGAGAAGTTGAAGCTTGAGAGTTAACTTGAGAATTAAGATGAATCGAATTGAAGCTTGAGAAGTGGTAAATATTTGAGAAGTAAAGAAGTGATCCTAGTCCTTCATATAGTTAAGATCGGATTTGACTGGTCAATTATTACGACTTTAACTGGTAAAAAATTGTGAGTATGCAAAAAATAGAGACTTTAACAAATAAGTGGCAAACGAATTCATATATGAACCTATGTGATTCAAATATAAACTATATATTCATATATGAACTCATGTAATTCACATATGAACTATTTTAACTGATTCATATATGAACCATTGTGTTTCACATATGAACCCGTATGATTCATATATGAACCCTTATGATTCGATGTGAACTAATTAACGGGTTCACACACAAAAACATAATTTATATGTGCATTACATGAGTTCACATATCAACTCGTTTGCCGCCTATTAGTAAAAGTTATGAAACTACCCATCTATCTTCTGCATACCCATGCGAGAAATTATTCGGCGCTTCACGGTCAAAGTTCGTAAATGTTGACCAGATGAAGGGTAATGTTCACTTCTTTATTTCTCAAATATTCGTCACTTCTTAAATGAACCTTTATATATATATATAGGGTCAGGTTCAAATGTTAACAAAAGTTTTTGTGTTAACTTTGTTAACCGATCTTAGTCGTTCAATTTTTCAATAACGGTTGTAATTAATCATGATAAAAACTTATTATTTTAAATTTAGAATTTCAAAAAGATAGGTGAACAAAATTGAAAAGGGTATTTAGGTAAAAAAAATTATGTAACTCCCATATCATTAATTGGGAGTTACAAAATAAAAAAATTCTATGATTTTTGTTAATGTAAGAACCATATAAACACAACTATATATATATGAACCATTGTGTCAAATACAAACAAAAAATTAACATATATATGAACTTGGACTGCATAGCATTTATGAACACAATATGAACATAATAAGAATAACTGCTATACGAAAGAAAATAAATAAAAAAACAGGTATGAACACAATATGAACAACTTGTGAACAATAGTTCCTTCATTATAAACACATTCAAGAGCGATCATTTGTCAATTGGAGTTTATATATGCATTGCATCTACACTGTTTAAGGTTCAACCCTTATTCATATATGTTTCTGGTCTTATGTGGTTGTTCACCCCTTGTTCATATCGTGTTCACCCATTGTTCATATCGTGTTCACCCCTTGTTCATATCGTATAAAATATATGAACACATAACMCCAACGYTATGAACACCGGGTGCAAACACTTACACAAATATAAAGGTTTGATATCAAGCTTAAAAAATAACACTTGTGTTCATATGATAGAAGTAACATGAACACAATGKTTCATRATTCATAAAAGTCGGTAATATGACAATATGAAAATGRGYCRTRCATGTACTTCCATTTGAACATGTGAATTAGGTACGTATTAATGATTAATTTTTTTTATCAACTCAATATGAACTACAAAAAACACAACACATCATAATGAACATAAATTCGATTAAAACGAGTCTAATAAAATATTAATCCATTAACAAGACATTCGATTTGGTTAATTTCTTCACTTCCCGAACTCAAACTCCGATTGTCACCATAAACCATTTTAATCTTCTCAATGTTGTCGATTTTTTTTCCAATGCGTTTATTCATAATAGTTTGAACGATACCGAAAATTTTACTACCGTGTTTCCTCCACGAATTAAAAACTCATAAAACAATAAAAATGGAAGATCAAGATTAAAAAATAAATAAAAATATCAATATTATAAATGTATATTTTTAGGGATTTTATGATTTTGTAACTCCCCTTTAATGGTATGGAAGTTACATAGCAAATGAAATTACTCAAATACCCTTGGCATAATATATATATATATATATATATATATATATGTATACCCATTCAAGGGAGAATTGATTAGTTTGTAGTAACTGTGAGATCCAATCTCAACCGCAAATCAACGGATAAATTAGGAAATTAGTAATTATAGTAGTTTGAGTTAAAATTATAATTAGAGGGCATTTTAGGTATTTAAAAAAAACTCATCTCTCCTTTCTCCTCTCTCCTACCTCCAATCTCCGGCCTCCGGTGAACATTAATCCGACAGGTACCAAGTAATCACAAAGATACACAATGTGATACCCATTGTGATATACTGTGATACCATTGTGATACCAACTCAAACCATAAAAACAAAGATACACAATGTTATACCTATTGTAATACACAATGTGATACCCATTGTGATATACTGTGATACCGATTTCACCGGATGCCGGAGATTGGAGGTCGGAGGTCGGAGAGATGAGAGAGGAGTTTTTCAAAAAATACCTAATATGTCATTTAATTATAATTTTAACTCAAACTACCATAATTATTAATTTTCTAATTTATTTGTTGATTTGTGGTTGAGATTAGACCTCACAATTACCATAAACTATTCAGTTCTCATTTGATTAGACCCTTATATATATATATATATATATATATATATATATATATATATAATATTATGTCTTACGTTTTGATTTGAACTATGGTTTGAATAATCCGAAACCACAAACCAAGATATAGAAAATATAAGCCGTAAATAAGTTCATAATGTTTATACTTGCACCATTCTTTTTCTTGATTTACATATGTTTTGAATGTTTATAACTCTTAAGGGGTGTTTAGTTCACGTAATGGAATTACAATTTATTAAAGGAATTTGATTTTGAAGAAATTTGAATGGAATTTGACTACGCGTTTGGTTGGTAGGAATTGGAATAAAATGTCTCAATAGGTTGGGTAGGTGGGGTGGGAGTGAATGAGGGTGAGTGAAAGTGAGTGGCACTTGTGATAGCGACAATAATGGTGTGGTGGTAGGGGTTATGTTAGGGGCATGACAGTAATGGTAGTAGCATGGTCGTAGTAGGGATGTGCAATGAGTGACGGGGGGGGGGGTGGGTGTGATGACAACAGTAATGACATGGTGGTTAGTGGTGGGGTAGAGTGGATGGGGTTAGCGGTGGGGCATGACAAACAATAGTAGCATAGTTATGGTGGGTGGTAATATAATTTAATTCCTTTCATTATTGCCAATGAATGATGAATTAATTAATTTGTGGAATTCAATGGAATTTGAATGATTCCATCTATTTCCATAAATGAACCAAACAAAAAAATTGGAATTTGGTCAAAAGAATTTGTCATTTCAATTCCATCAAATTCCTTCAAATTTTACGAACCAAATAACTCTTAAATATTATGTATATATTTTTAATACTAGAACGGTACTCGCACAATGTAGCGAAATACATCTCGATTTAATGTTTTATTTTATTTATATTTGTCTCAATCGATGCTATAATACAATTTTATGTGGTTTTAAGAAAGCGGTAATGTTTTTATATTAGAGTATAAATATGAAAATATCATAAATTTTTTTTTCTTTATATTAGTATCAAACAGACTATTTAACTTTTTTCTATTTTTTGTATATTTCATTAATTCATTTTTTTATTTTTGGTTTAATAATTAAGTATTTTGTTAGAACTCAATTATTATCCTAATTATATTTAAGATTTTTTATATTTAAAATGAGATGTTTATCCTTTATTTTGATTATTTTTTCTGCAGTTAGTTAGACGAATTCAAACATAAAGCTTTAGTAAATTGTACTTAGACACAATTTACTTGTAATATTGAATTTTAAGTAACATACATCAATAAACAATATTTCATACATAATAAATAATTTTTAAGAATTTTATCAAATACTTTATAATATAGTATAGATTACTGAATATGCATGACACCTATTAATAAGAAGCAAAATGACAAAAAAAAACATCTCATGTGAGGATATATCGTGTACTCAACGGTTGTTAATGATAAAAACGAAACAAAAACAAAAGCATTATCAAAACCAATAAAACAAGAACGGTTATTTAGGGGATGTTTACTAGATGTTTACCCGGTAAGTGCTTATTGGATAGTTTTTCTCATCGGATGAACATGACAAATGTCAAATATCTTACTCGGTAAGAGCAATGATAAAAATAAAGAGTCTTGCTCGGTAAATGAGGGTAACGACTCTGACCCGGATAAGCGTTTACCAGGTAAATTGTTGCATACGATACTATTTTGATGTACTACAATCTTACCTGGTAAAATAAATTACAGTATTGACTCCTAAAGGTAAGCGCTTACCAGGTAAATATTTCGGTGAACGGTAGGCATGAGAATGGACCCCGACCCGTCGGGGAACCCGGTCCACCTGCCCCGGTCGGGGACAAGGATTCCCTGCAGGGGATCCCCGTTTGTCTCAAACCAGGGATGGGACGGGGAGGGTATGGTACTCCCCGCCCCGCCCCGTTTCCGTTATATATATTAATTAATAAATTATATATATATATATATATATATATTCAACTAAAGCGGTAATTCATAATTTTCTATTTTGTAGCTAGTTTTATAATCTAAAATTGTTACTTTTTGCATGTTAATATGTAATATTTTGGATATCAAGTCAAAATACAATTATTCGATAAGTTTTGTATATTACTCGATATCTTTTGGTACATGTAACTTTAAGTTTTTTTTAGATAAACTGAATTTTTTTGGTTTTAGGTTATTAGTTCTTATATGATGTTGTGGTTTTTTTGTATTAAAATAAATCCATTTTGATTTTAGGTTTATTGAAAATGTTTGATATTTAAACATGTATGACCTCTCACATATTTAATTTAAAATAACTTACATAAACGGAAAAAAAATCTTCGTTTCCCCGTTGGGGATGTGATTATATTCTCCGACGGGGATGGGGACGGGGATAGAGATAAGTAATCGGAGACGGGGATGAGAATTGAGGTCCCCGCCTTATTCCCATGCCTAGTAAATGGCTAATTTTTAAGCATAATTTCAAACGTATTTTGGTTGTAACATGTAATTAAGATTTGGGCCTAAATAATTTATATAAAGATTAATTTAAATTTATATGGTTAGTTTTGATCCCTAAAGTTTAGTTATTGATAAATATCTTTAATTTTTTATCAATAATAAATATTTTTATCAAATGATTGATGAAGCGACAAGTGAGGTAGCTTTGGTGTCATATTAGTTGGGGAAGAAGCCAACAATTATTTACCTAATAAATATTTTTTTTAAATATATAAATACACTTATTATCCCCACCTACAATATATAATTTCTTTTCATAAAATTTCTTGAAAATATAAATTTGAAATTACAAAAGCAAACAAAATCCAACCTAATAGACCCCTATATCCCAATTCCCCAATAAAAATAAGGTCACAAAAATAGATAAGTAACTATTAGTGATGGTCAAAAACCGATCCTGAGCTAGGCCGAGCTGGGTCGAAGTCGGTCTCGGGCCATCACTAGGAACGATGCACAAAAGGGCTCAAGCTTCTAGCCCAGTCTAGGTTCAACTTAAAAAACTGGACCTAATGAGCCCGAATCCTGATCTGAGCCAACCCTCAAAGAATGATTAGACAGAAATTTTGGAGGCAAATTCAATTCGAAAAAAAAACATGACCTGAAAAATTCTAGAAAAGACAAGTTAAGCCCAAAAAAACGTGGCTTGAATCTAATAGGGGCCTTTTACAACACGAAAATTCCGGCCCGTGTGTTTTTTGCTCACCGAGAACAGGTTTGGAAGACCTAGGCTCAGAGCTGAAAACGCCCCGGGTCTTGTGCATCTCCAAGATAAGTGGCAGATGCAAATTTTTACCGTGTTTCAAGAGACATAGATACCATTTCATACTAAATAGAATCGAAATTATAACAAAACCAAAATATTTGAATCCCGCATTCTTTTTTCTATTTATGGATATATCGTACATAGACTTGAATTCAATGAACAAAATTGCAAAAATAAAAAATGACAACTCTTTCTAATTATAGAAACTGGAAAATCCAAACTCCATAAATAGAAACCATGGTACTTGCTATTAATGGAAAGAAACAGAGCTGCTACTATCTTTCAAGCACCATTCCCATTGGATATGCAGCAGCTTCAGGATGATAATGCAGCATTTCCCTCACCATCTCCTCCCTAATCATCTCTTCATTCATATTCTCATCAAGATCCAAATTTATCGGCATTCGGGCGGGCGGGTTATTATTCGGGTCAAACAAACCCGCCATATACGGGTGGTGTAAAGCCTCTGTCACCGTTATCCTCTTCGCCGGATCAAACACCAACATTCGCCGGAGCAGATCCAGCGCTAGCGGATCCGCCAAAGGGTACAAAGAAGAAAGCCCGATCCCTCTGGTGAACGGCAACGTTTTGATGAACCTTCGAGCTTTTGCGTTATCGATGAATCCAAGATCGTTGTCGTTTTGGCTGCCGAGAATGTTGATTATGAGTTTCAACTGGTTGAGGCACTCGGTTCCCGGAAAAAGCGGTTTCCGGCCGAGGATTTCGGCAAAGATGCAGCCAACAGACCAGACGTCGATGGAGGTTCCGTAGTTGTCACAACAGAGGAGAAGCTCGGGTGCTCGATACCAACGTGTGACTACGTATTCGGTCATAAACTGTTCGCTACCTTGGCTAGTTCTTGCGAGCCCGAAATCGCATATTTTGAGCTCGCAGTTGGCATTGACCAAGAGATTTCCGGGCTTTAGATCACGATGAAGTACATTAGCCGAGTGAAGATACTTTAGACCTCGAAGCAACTGGTTTACAAAAACGACGTATTAGGATCGATAATCAAACACACATTGTAGTGCATGGAACATGTAAGAATATGTGAAACCTCATCAGATTACTGTTTAAAACAGTCATCTAATAGAGAAGGTACATTCTAACATATAACGAGAAGAAATAGTCAAAGTCTAGCCGATAAGATTAGGATCAATAATCACAAAGACACAAATATGGTGCATACAACACTGCAACAAAATCGGGTTTATAAAACATCAAAAACGTCTAAATGTTTTAATAGACTGCTTTATATGACTTAAATTTATAGGACCAAACAATTATGCATCATATGTAAAATTGTTATGATAAATTTATAGAACACTTTTGAGAAAATGTCCCATGAAAGGCATCTTTTTATAAGATATTTTTTTCAAATAATGTCATAAAGTTAATATACCGTTTTATTTCAAAAATATCCTAAAAATGTCTTAAAAACTTGTTACGATGCCTGAAAACGTCCTATAAAATTATTATAACATTTTTACATACGACACATAATTGTTGGATCCTATAAAAAAAGTATATTAGGACATGTAGACATTTTTGGTATCATATAGACCTGTTTTTGTTGTAGCAGAACTGTAGAAGATATGAAAATATGTAGAATCCCGTCAAATTACTTTTCAAAAGAGTCCTTGAATCCAGAAGTGAATTCCAATATATATTGAACAGAAACTGTGTAAGTCTAACTGACATGAGACTCTAGCAGAACAAAACATCAAAGACATAGTATTTACGTGCTTATTCTCATGATTACCAATCGGAGCGATCATTTCAAGCAATAATGAAAAGAAAAAAGACCCGATAAATTACTGTGTGAAACGGAAATTTATACCTGAAACAAGAAGAATTTGCAGTGATCATTCGAGAGCGGTTGTGAAGACTTGATAATATGATGAAGATCAGTATCCATAAGATCGTAAACAAGATACACATCTTTGAAGCTATTCCTGTAGATCGGAAACATGACATCTTTCAATCCAATCACATTTTCATGCCTAATATGTCGAAGAAGCTTCAACTCCCTTAGAGTTCTTAAAGCATCGGTCGGGTTACCAAACACATTGTTGATCTTCTTGATTGCAACTTTCTCGTTGGTTTCTCTATTGATCGAAGAACACACGACCCCATATGCTCCTCTCCCAATTGGTTTGATCGGTATGTATTTGGTGTCGATTTCGAACAAAGTTTGCCACATCGTGTAATAATGTTTCCCTCTTTGCCTAAATCCATTTGGTGGTTCAACATATGTTGCCATATCTCTGTTCATTACCACAAAATGAATCTTTTGTTAAACCCTAACGATATCTAACGTAAATTGCAAAACCCAATTGAATTTTAAGCAACAATTGGCCAAAATGCAGATAATTTACAAAACCCCAGTTCAAACTCAAGCAAGAATTCTCCAAAATCTATAACGATTAGCAAAACCCACTTGAAATTTAAGCAAATAATTGACCTAAATCTGAAAACTGGCAAAACCCCAATTCAATTTAGAGCCAGAATTCGCCAAAATCTATTATAGTTTGCAAAACCCACTTGAAATTAAGCAAATAATCGACCAAATTCCCAAAACTTGCAAAACCCCAGTTCAAATTCAAGCCAGAGTTTGCCAAAATCTATAATAACTTGCAAAATCCAGTTGAAATTTGAGCAAAAAGTTGACCAAAATCCGTAAAACTTGCAAAATTTCAGTTCAAATTCAAGCAAGAATTGGCCAAAATCTATAATAGCTTGCAAAACCCACTTGAAATTTAGCAAATAATCGACAAAATCTTCAATAAATTCCAAACCAACTTGAAATTGACGCAAATGTTGACCAAAATCTGGCGAACTTGCGAAATCAACTTGAATGAAACAATTGTAATAGCGAAAATCTGTAAGAACTTGCAAACCCACTTGAAACTAAAGCAAATAAGTAGTCAAAATCTATACGAACTTGCAGGAGCCATTTGAAATTAAGCAAATAATTGGCCAAAAACTCTATAATAATTTGCAGAATCCAGTTGAAATCCAAGCATACAACTGAAAACCCATTTGCATTCAAGTGAGATTATGACCTAATTATAAACATCCAACAACTATAAAATATATGTATGTAGTGTGAATAGATTCAGAGAATCAATACTTACTTGCTGCAGGTGGATCTTCTTCGATCTTCAATTCCTGAAAAAGTAATATTAAAAATTACAAGAACTGTCACTTTGCTATCTCCTCAATCCTTCCAAAATCTCCTAATTGCACAAACTTTCTTTGCTTTTCCTTAACGCAAAGCAAAGGAAAACTGTCGGAATCCAACACTTTCGGCACAAACTTCCCAATTTTTCATAGGGTTTCCTGAAACCCCAAATGATCACATCGATCAATAATTCCCAAATTTCTGGGAAATTTCAATTTTCCACACCCTCATCAAGTGGCCTTCAGAATACCAAATCAGCTACGGGTTTTAGCTTCAAATCATGAAAGAAGATGATCATAGGATCAAATATCTTGAGTATGGTTTATTTATAGAAAAGGTAGCTGTAATGGAGGATCTCCACCCACTCAACTAGTTGAAATTAGGCCTGGATAGGTAGCGAGAAGGGATTATTTATAATGATCACATGACGATATGAAGAAAATTTAGAATTAAACATCTAATCGTGAAGGAATCATTGATATTTTCCATGGGTTCATGCACATATCCGACTTCTTTAAACAAAGTATCACTACAAGCAACAAGAAGAAACCCCCGTATTATGGACTTCTTGTTGCCACATTTCAAAGTTACAATTTACATCTAGATCCCTGTATTATGGACTTATTGCAGAAATCTCCCCATAACCAAACCAAATACATCTCACTAGAGGTGTAAATGAGTCGAGTAGTAGGTATTCGAGCTCGGTTCGAAAAAGTAGTATCAGATTTGAGCTCGAATAACTTTGAAAAATCGGGCTCGAGCTTAAGCCCGAATATGTTTTTAATGTTGAGCTCGAGCTTGATGTTTGTTTACGAGCTTGGACTTGAGATCGATTAATTCATTTATTTGCTCAAACTTGATGGTTTTCATATTTTGATTATATAATTTATAAACATATAAATATGTTTGGCTAGAAAAGGTGTATGCTTGAATGGTTCGACTTGACTCGACTCAACTTGTGAAATTTATCAAGCTTTCGACGAGCCGAGTCATACTTGTATTGTGGAGCTTGTCTCGTTAATTCAGGTAGCTTTATTTTGTGTTTGAGATCTATTCGAGCTCGAGTAGGTCGTTAAAAGCTCAAATCGTATACACCCCTACATCTCACATGAACTACAGTCTAGGAAAAATAAGATGTACGCAGAATCACGGATATTTATTTTAACCAAAGGAGTAAAGATGCTAACCTTGTAGAGTTAACTTCATTTGCAATAAGACTTAGGTGTTCAGGCCTCCTTTTCATAAATCACCAATTCAAATCCCGCAACACAATTGGGACTCTCCTGACTGTTATCGAGTGCCCATGAGTTTAGTCGAGGTACATGCAAGGTGGAACGGACACCTACGATTAACAAAAAGAAATAGTAAATGTTTATTAAATATCAACCGTTATCATATTCTTTTACCAAGTTTTTTGAGATTTGGGTTCGATTCTGACTTGACCAATTTTTATAAAACTTGTTACATCCATCCTTGAAAATGAATGTTTTTTTTTGATTAAGTTGAATATCCAACTCGCTATGTGAGCCAACTAATCCTAGAGCGATCACCTATTTGGCAGATAACCCGGAGCCGCCGTATTTGAACCTTTGTGGCCACAAGAGGATTTTTATTTCTCCTTGAATTTGAACAAGTGATCTCCTGGTACTTTTAACTTTTGGAGTCAAACTCAAACCAATCAAACATCATCTTTATGTTTGAATAAAAAAAATTATGGTTCATATGAATGAGGTTTTAAATTTACCTTATAAATTGAGAAGACTCAAAAGATATGATTCCATCTATACAAAAATATATTTGATTATCTTTTAATATCCCAAGAAATATATAAAAAGGGTCTGGAAACTTGGTGATTGAAAGTTGAATTGGTAATATGTTTTAAAAATGTTCTAAATATGAAACTATAGGGGTATAACTGTATTTATCTGAAAGATGAAGGGGTGAAAAGGAAATAGTGAGGAGTTAGTGGGTTTGGAGGCAGCTTGGCGTTGAAATAATCGGTCTTCTCTCTCGTGGCTCCAACTTTTGAATTTGGAAACATTCTCTACCATTTTAAGAATTACTTGTCTATCCGCACAATGCGGCTAGAGCTATGAATTTTAATGATTTTAAAGTTTTATTGATTTTAGAAGATAAGATTTAACGATGATATATGTTATACTTGATTTTTATATATTAATACAATTTGAATAAATAAGAGTTATGGTTTCAATTACAGACTATCGATGAAAAAAATTGTATGACAGTTTAAAATCAAATATATTTAAAATCTAACATATTTAAACGACTCCACAAATGTGTTCGATTTACACCAAGAACAAAGAACCAATAAACTTGAGTTTTAAGATAAACACTCAAAACCAATAAAGAAAACTACAAATTTGACAGATTATAAGCCATGAAAAGACAAAAAAAGATAGGTTTTAAAATGAAATTTCAACTGCTTACCCTCTTTCTTGTTCAGAGACTCAGATTAAGATTGAATTAATACATGTATATATATATTTCAAAAAAACCCAAGAACATATTATACAGTGCAATTTAGACAGCCTAACCCCAATATTGGACTCATTTCGAAATATTAAAAATATTTTTTCATAGTATATATAGCATATAATAATATAATTAAGTCAAAAACTATTCAATATTGGACTCATTTCGAAAGTATTAATGAGACAATTATAATGGTGTAACTTGTTAAAATAAAAATGTAATTTTTAAACATGTTTTAATTGATATACGATTATGTATATTAATTTGATAAAAGTTTAAAATGAAATATTTAAAAGTAATGACGTAAAGTAAATTAATTAACTAATTATAATGATATAAAGTGTAATCGGTTGTAAGAGGTGAGTGTATGTGAGGAGAGGAGGAGGTGAAAAGGTGAAAAAGTGATATAAAGAGTATCTTGGTCATTTAATATTTTAAGACTTTTGTTAAATTTGTCTTATAAGATAGTATAGATACTTAAAATAAAATAATAAAAATTATATTTTTAGAAAACAAAAATTCATCTCACACCGAAACCCAAAAATATATGATATATCAAAAATATAAAAACTCATTTAAACTTGTTTGGATTCAATTTCGAATCACTTTATTTCCATTATTTTAAATTTAAATCAATATTATTTTAAATTTAAAAATAAACAAAACCAAATTCAGTTTCGATTTTAAATGATTAAACAAAAAAATTAATTTTAAGAACCGTATTTAACACGTTTTGTATCCTTATTTAGAATAAATATTCATTATGAGTAACACATTAATGATAAATGTAAACGTGTTATTCATTATGAATAATATATTAATGATTAATATGTGTTAATCATTACGAATAGCACATTCATTATAAATATATTACCACATTTAAAAGAAATGTCATGTTCCTAATCAATTTTAAGTGACACATTCATATTTCTGATGAATATTTCATGTCATGTTGTGTTCAGTTCTCGAATTTTACGTTTCTAATAAAACTTATTCAACTTAAAATAAAAATAAAAAAATACATAATCTATATTATATTATAAAGCATTTAACAAAAACTCTTAAAAACCATTTTATATATATAAAATACTGTTTATTGATGCATATTACTTAAAATTCAAGATTACAAGTAAATACTGCATAATTACAACTTATTAAAGCTCCATGCTTGAATTCGTATAACTAACTGCAGATAAACATAATCAAATATTATATAAACATTTCATTTTAAATATAAAAAATCTAAAATATAATTAGGATAATCATTATATTTTAATAGAATACTTAATTATTATTTTTATAAAAAATTATATTATTAAATTAAAAATAACTTATTTCGTTATTAAAACTAAATTAAATTATACTAATAAAGAATTGAATTAAATAAATTACGCAACAAAACAAAAATTTAAATAGTTAATTTGATACTAATATCGATATATATGTTTTTTTAAAATTTTAAGATATCTTCAAATTTATACTTTATTCAAAATAAGAACATTATCGGTTTTTTTATAAAACCATATAAAAACATATTATAACATTGACAGAGAACAGAATAAAACGAAACATTAAAATCAAGATGTATCTCACTGCATTGCGCGAGTACCCTTCTAATATACAGATTGATGAAATTTTAAAATGATTGTAATCTAATAGCAAGATATATCTTTGGAAATTAGCCAAAAACTAGTATGTGTTCGAATAATTTCAAGTTTAAAAGAATATACCGTTTTTAAAACTTTATATGAAATTTGTGAATTAACTTGAAAACGTGGTCGTTTTGGTTTGAATTCGCCGGCTGTTATTTGCATTTGCGTTTGCGCAAATGCATGTGGGAGGATATTAACGGCGTAAGCAAAGCACGTGGATGGACAGCTTTTGTCTTTCACGAAATCGCCGGCAGCCGTTCTTTACTTAATTAACCTTTGACTTTGTTATCATGCTCACTTAAATCCTCCAAGTTTACCATTTATTCAATTCTAACCTTGAATTTTTTATGACTTAAATCTATACTACCTTATAAACCAGATTTATCAAAAGTCTTAAAAATATTTTTTAATGCACAAAGTACTATACATTTATGCACAAAGTCTTAAAAACAACTCATAATGCATTAAGTACTACTATTTTATGCATTCAGTCTTAAAATCTCTTAATCTACAATTAAAATAATATATATTACAAGTTACCAATGCATATTATTACTTTTTCTTTTCATGTTTCTAAGATACTTTTGACACCTTTCACTCATGCATTCATCCTCTCATACCTCTATGTCTTCTCATCATCCCCCAATGTGAGATTCAAACTGATATTCACCATGAGTTATTAAAAGTTCTCTCATTCATCTCCCATTCAATTGCTCTAGAACTCTCGGTCTCGGTCTCGATCTCTTGATTTTTTGCTATTGGTGTAAATCGGACACATTTGTGAAGTTGTTTAAATATGTTGGATTTTAAATATATTGGATTTTAAACTGTCAAACAATTTTTTTCATCGATTAATTGTACTTGGAACCATAACTCTTATTTATTCAAATTGTATAAATATGTAAAGAGCAAGTGTAACTTATATCATCGTTAAATCTTCTCTAATAAAACCAATGAAACTTHAAAATCGTTAAAATTCACGGCTCCCGCCACATTACGCAAGTACACAACTAATTTTATCCTTATAGTGGATGTATTGATAATTTTGCATAATATAATTCATGTCCCCTTTCTTTCCCTTTTTGACCATTTACCTCATGGTTATAAGTTGATTAGGTATATTGATCTTTTATCGATTATATTTGATAAATTAGCTGTTAATAAATAAATTAATTATATTTAGGGGTCGTTTACCTACACACTTACTCGGTAAGCACTTACCGGTAAAATTCAACACTATCGTTTACTTACCATGTAAGATTTTATTCACTAAAACGTATTGTATGCAACAATTTATCCTAGTAAGCGCTAACCATGGTAAGAGTCTTCGTCCTCACTTACCGGGTAAGACTCTCGGTTCTTGTCTTCGCTTTTACCGGTTAAGA